CAGTCTACAGTGGGTACATCAATGATTTACTCTCTGTCTTAAACTCTCTAACACTTATGTAAAGATAAACTAGAACAGTTTTGCATCAGCTCCTCCCTCAAATACAGAACCACGCTGTAGCTTGTAGTACAGATCATTTTATTACATTATTATTTGAAATGTATTTATTTGTTAAGTAATTGTGTTCAGGTAAGACAGTCCTATCCTTATAATTCTACATTTTTTTCTTTTCTTTTTTCTTTGATCATAAAATCCTTCTTGATACTCATTTAGAAAAGTACATAATGTTGAAGCATTTGTTTAAGCATCAGAGTTTCTGTGTTTATGATTATTGTTCATTTTACTGTAAAGTATGAGCAAAGTAAATAAAAATTAATTCTGTTCAGCATGCGCATAAATCTTTCTATTAGTCTGTCTCCAAAGAGATTGTCAAAGAGATTGAACTGCAGGTGATTAATGCAAATATCATTTTGATCGGCTGAGTTTTTGAACTAAATTTCTTGAAGGAGGATTGTTTACTGTCATATGTAAATATTTATAAAAGGATAGTGAGGTTTCTGCTAAATGTCACTTAACATCTGTTTCATTTATCAAGCTTAATATTACAAAAAAATTGGATTTTACTCCAGCAGACAAACTGTTGGAGTCATCTCTGGAGATGATGGACCTACCCTGGATGAACTGGGACTATCAGCAGTGCCAGTGTGTATCAGTTCATATTGTAGCTGCTGAATGTGAATCCGGAGCATGTACAGGTTAATTCTGGATATTTTCCAGGTCTTTTTACCACTGATTCAGATTTTGTCAGAGACCATAAAAACATGTCAAGAGCATCAAATCACACTGAATTAAACTGTAATATCAAGAATTATTAATGCTGTCAACTCCCAAGCAAATAGTTAACAGCAGTTATGATGATATTTCTAATCCACAAAAAATAAGCAAGGAGCAACTAAAGTTGTCCAGTTTTATTTTCAATATTCATATTTCTCTCTTTTAAAATAAAATGAAAATAAAATCAAAGACAGGAGATCTCATAATGAACAATACTCAGAGAATAAGAGACC